TTAATTTTCATGACGCCCCGTTTTCGAAAATACAAAGTTATATCCCAAAAAAATGCGTTATGATACATTTAAAATGAAACATTATTTACGGTGAATTCAGATCACATTTTACTCTCCATGACACCCGGTATCCGAAAATACAGTTGTATCTCGAAAAATGTGTTTTGTTACATTTAAAATAAAACATTTTTGCGATTAATTTATATCATATTTTGCTTTTCACGACACCCGTTTCCGAAAAAACAAGGTTATATCGCAAAATGTGTTTTGTTACATTTAAAATAAAACATTTTTGCAATAATTTGGATCAAATTTTTACCTTTCACGGCAACCCGTTTCCGAAATACAAAGTTATATCACAAAAAAATGCGTTTTGTTACATTTATTTTGCATTCCCAATAAAATACATATTTTCCCTAATTAAGGTCCCTCGATGAATCTGTTCCTGTTGTTCAAAGCTCAACACACGTTTGGACGAGTGTGGGGTGGTTTTTTGATCGACGATAAATTAAAAAGTTGCCACACGTTATTTGTATAACGATAATAACTGAAAAATTAAGATTTTATAATAGAAGTGAATTTGTCTCAAGATGGTATTTTACGATTCCTGCCCACAGAAAATAAACACGCTGACAGGCTTGGTTATAATTGATATTCGTTTAATTTATTTTACACTATTAATAAACGCGCCACAGCCAATTGCGACCATATAAATTGGCAGTCGCATCGGTATGGACTGTATGTTTTTGGCGCTCTCAAATTAATAATAATTTTCAACAAAACAATTCCCCGACGGTCATTAAAGCTGAATTCGTTACCGAAATAATTCGCAATTTTATTTACGGAAATTGCAATTTCAAGATCTCACTTGACGATTTTGATGATGTCATGCCCTAATTATTACTGCTTAAATGCCTCAAAATACAACAAATGTAATCAATTTTCGACGATAATAGGCGCAACAATTCGTAAACGAGCCGTTATAACGAAATTCGCGATTGATTTTATCTCTCTCTGTTTACAATTTTAACATCCCGCCGGCCATGTATGTCGAATACAATGTTCACATATTCGAAACATGACTTGGCCAAGGATGGAAGGGGTCACTAAAGAGCTAATAGAAAGTATATACGTGGAGGGTATGATATTAAGATCGAGAATATTTGTGAGCATATCACAGGACGGAAATATTTTGCACCCGGCTGTTTGTTGCAGAACAACGATACGCTAAAGTTAATTGATCGAATACAGGAAAGTATTTATTACCATCCCACTTGCGAACATCGAGGTTTGGCGGAATTGTGCGATCATGTTGTCTTTCTTAAATAATAACTTTTCAATAAATGTTCATTTTACTTTTGCGTCTTTATTATATGTCTGGTTTTCATTTATTTTAAATTCGAAATTGTCCGAATACTCCAACAGGTGTATAGGTACAATATAATGGTACTTACCAAAGTACCTACCAGGGAAGTTTAATACACAGATGTGTAAAGGGCGTCGTAACTCCCGTTTATTAATTATAAATTTTTACATTCTGCTTAAAAAACAACGGCAGTCATCTCACGTAACTCTCGCGACCAAATCTTTTTGTTTTGTATGGCATCGTCTTGGCGACGAATTTATTGCCGACTGAATTTTAATTGTGTTTTAGGATAAGTTATTTTCTGTTTGTTGGTTTCTAAACTTTACAAACTTGGGTAGCAATTACTATTAATGTGAGATTTGTGCATATGAACGATTGAATATCGCGACTGGATGTCCGATATCTGAGAATGCGTAATTCTCTTTCAACATTAATTTTCAGATATCAGCGTTCATGTGGTCGAATAAAAATTATTTATCAAATGGATTGGTATTTCGAGACACTCTCAAAATTATTTGGGATCCACTATCATATCATTCGTTTATTTTTTATATTCATGTTTTTCTCAAGAATCACCCTCGTTATATTTAGTGTACCTTCGCAAAAGAAAACTCTTTGGTGTCATCGTTCCTATTAGTGTAATTGAAATATATGGAAACCTCGCAAGTGGCGTTGTGATGCGAATATTTGATACTAGGTCAGCAGCATTACAAAGAGTGCTATTTATGAATGCTGAAAGTACATGACATTACTAAACATTTTGCCAATATATGATGTTTTCTGCCCGATTTAAACTAACTCGCACGCAAACCAAGGCATGTCGACATTTAAAAATTACTTGTCTTTGGGTAAGCTCTGAAATAGTATAATATAAATGTAAATGAGAAATTAGGTCACGCTAGCTCACGAAACGGGAGGATTTTCAAAGTGATCTTGTGTAATATTTCGGAGAAAAAAGTTTGAAAGGAAAGTAGTCAACCTATCTCCTAAAACAGAGGAGTATCCTGTATAATATTTCGGAGGGAACGTAGGGTTTAACCTATCTTTTAAAAACAGCCGGTGGCGACTTCAAAAGTGGTTCAAAACACAAATTAAATAATTATCAGATTAGGTTTAGGGATGAATCGAAAAGTTGATTGCTATTTATATTTGGGAGGGGGGGATTATTTGCACCGGATTTGTACAAACGATCCACCCTGTAACTAATATGGTTTCCAGCCGGCCTCGTGTCTGTTAGATGGAAGGAGTAACAAATGTGAAAGTCTTTGCTGTTTACGCGAGTAAGCAACTGACACCTTGATACATTGCATGAAAGTTTTGTCCGCGGCAGGTGTTAGCAGATGTCATTTCGTTGCCGATGAATTCGCTTGTTTTAAATAAACATGAATTCGCTTAAAGGGAACTCGGTTAACGAAAAGGCTTCTCTTTAATTCATAATATTAACCGGAGGAGCGCTTTTTCGAGTATCTATGCCGTTTTAAATGGGTTATATGAAAGGCTAGGGCACCTAACTTGTTAAAATCGGCAAAAGCACTTTCGCACTTTTTTTTTTGGACTGCGAAGCACTTTCGCACTCATAATTTGCTTAGAGTTAACACTGCTGGAGTGTATAATATATTATCTTTTTGACCAGCATACTGTTTTTCAATAATTTTATTTGTCACCTCTTTTGCGTGAATATTTAACCTTAGAGTGAGAAAACGTTTCAAAATTTTAAAAGCGACATTGTGGCAAGATGGAAAATATATATATTCTAAGCAGTCAACTTTATCTATCATATCAGAAAAGTAGCTGACGAACATATATTGTGAAAGGCAGTTTCTACTTCGCGCATCAAGCATCTACGATTGCTTTTTTGGATGGGTGGCATAAATATTGGGTGAAACTATCAATTTTCAATTTTTTATCAGGTGTGTACGACCGAAAAAGTGTTAGTAACGATTGTGGGCATTCATCGGGATTGACCCTTTCCATAAAAATAAACGCATCTTTGCAGATTCCACAGTCGTGTTTTTTCACTTCTTTGAGCACAGCCCAGCCTGTTAAATAATACAAAGCATCCGCTTCACATGTGTCAAAAAAGCCGATGCAGCTCCCATGCAACACCTCCATTGCACTGGATTCGTCGCTTGTTGCTTTTTTAGAGTCGAATTGCTGGTTTTCTAAATTTGTTTCGATGAATTCGAGCAATTGGGTTGTATCATCGTTCTCGTAGTTTGTTGAGGTCGGGGTGCTCATAAATTGTGAGACGGAAATAAGTTTGACAGCCACACGAAATTGCGTTGGTTTCGGGTGTTGAACTCCCTCGCCATGAACCTGAAACATAATTGAATATACTACAAACGTCTCTTGCAATGAAATAACATTTGAAATACGATTTAAATTTCATCATTACTTGCGAAAATAAATTTTCCAAGGCATCTTGCGTTAGCCTTCCAGCCATGAGAAAAATAACTTTACCATTTAACCGCGGTTCAAATAATACCTGCTTTAAACGTATGCTTTAGGTCAGGGATGTCCAACCTTTTAATTCAATGGGCCGCATTGCAAACTTAAATATTAACTGGGCCGCAAAACCACCTCTTAATACAATTTAATGGAAAAATTACAATATAAAACAAAACCACGTGAATACAGTTTATTTACATTATTACAACGTTGTAAATATTGTAATGTTTATATGTAGCTATACATAAAAAACACATTAAATTTAATTAATCAATATTAAATCAATGAGACTTTTGACTTTGTCTTCCAGCCATAATGTTTTCAATATTTGCATCGAAGGATGCATTCTTAATTCTAAGAATGTTTGCTAAATGTCTATCAGTCAACCTGTTTCTTTCTGCAGTTTTAATGTTTTTCATGCTTGAAAAAAACTGCTCGCAAGAGTATGTACTTCCCCACATACATAATAATTTTCTGGATAAATTTAGAATTTGATTGAATTCATTTTTGAGAGAATGCAATTTCTTATAAAATGAAGGAAGTGTGTTCTCCCTGTGAAAAGTTTTTAAACCTTCCCGGACTTTGCAGCTCAATCAGTTCAAGTTGGGTACTCCACTGGTGCTTTATCATATTCAAATGAAAATGGATCACTAAACAATTTTAACTCAATTTCAATCTTTCTAAAGTCAGAAAATCTAATCGTAAACTCTCCAAGCAAATCCTCACATAATTTAGTATATTTTTCATAGTTTACAGAAAACTTTTTTTCTCTTTCAGATAGACTACGGAAGTGTACAATTTTACCAGCTTTTAGCTGTGCTATAAAAAGTTCCAATTTCTTTGTGAAACTAGTTATTCGCTCAAACATTGAGGAACATAATTGGTCCTTTCCTTGTAAATGCAAATTAAGTTCAGCTAATACTTCGGTGATGTCTACAAAGAAAGATAAATCATTCAACCATTCTTCATTTTCTAAAAAATCCACATTTTGCTTCTTTTTTTCCAAGAACACTTTTATTTCAGGCAACAATAACTGAAATCTTTTTAAGGTTGCTGCTTTACTGAGCCATCTAACTTTTGAGAAATATACTACGTCTTCATATTCACTGCCAACTTCGTCCAAGAATGCTTTAAATTCGCGATGATTTAAACCCCGTGATCTGATGAAATTAACAGCCTTGACAAGATCAGTCATCAAATGTTTCATATTTAGCTTTTGAGCACATAATTGTTGTTGATGTATCAAGCAATGGTAACTGAGAATCTCATGATCAACAGATTCTTTAAATAAACTAATAAAACCATTGTGTTGACCAGTCAGGGCAGGAGCACCATCAGTTGTAATTGAATAAATGTTTTTCCTATCAATATTGAATTTATCTAATGACAAATTAACAATCTCATATATGTCCTTGCCTCTTGTTGTGCCCTTTATGTGACACAAGTCCAACATTTCTTCAATAATATTGAAATTTTTCATCAATTCCTCTAATGAAAATAACTAATTGTGCAGTATCACTTTGGTCAATACTTTCATCCAACGCTAAACTGTAAAGAACGCATGCAGATAATTTGTCCTTCAGTATGCCTTCAATATTATCACCCAAGTCATCAATTCTTCTGCCAATTGTCTGATGTGATAGACATGCTTCCTTTACTAAATTCACCTTGTCTGGACAGTACTCATTAAAAGCAATAACAATGCATTCTTTTATTAATTCTCCATCAATAAGAGGTTTTCCTTTCTTAGCTAATTTCTCAGCTATAAGGTAACTAACTTTTGTACATGTTCCACTTTTAACAATATGTTTTTGAAGATTAGCTTGTTGTGAGCTAATTGCCTTTGTCAATTCTTCAATTCTTCTTCCTTCTTCATTAAATGTCTGATATTCTGACTCATGTTTCGAAACATAATGACGTCTGACATTGTATTCCTTGCATACGCTAATCTTATCATTACATATAAGACATGTTATATTGCCAAATAACTCGGTCACAAAATATTTTTCCGTCCATTGGATATTAAATTTCCTCTTTTCTTCTGCTATTTTCCTTTTTTTAGTAATAGATTCCATGGCCATATAAATATAAAATTTTCATTACTTAAGATTATAGTTCTCTGAAAAAGAAATTAACCATTAATAGGTGTACTGAGCCGTAGTTTACTGAAAATGCATTTATTTCAACAATAAAGAAAATTTAAATGATTAAGCACTTACTTTTGAGAGATATAGTCTGCACACCGCCACAGCCAAAACAACACTGTCGAGAACAAAGACTTGCGAACGGCATGGCGAGTAGCTGGTGGCGGCGCACCAGAGCGCGAGAAAAAATACATACGGGAGTTTCAATTTGGTCGCTACAATTATTTTATTTATTAAATATAAAGTATTTTTTGACTAAATTACAATAAATATATTTTGACTAAATTACATGAAGACTCTCGTGCTCATTACTTCATAAATTTGCTAAAAAAAAATTTTTTAATGATTCGTTAGTGGGCCGCATCCAAACATTAAGTGGGCCGCAATGCGGCCCACGGGCCGCAGGTTGGACATCCCTGCTTTAGGTTAATGACGTTTTGCACTTGCGAGGTAAAGCTATCTTTAACCTCTACAAATGTCTCGATATCATATTAGGTTAAAACAAGAACAAATCGAGGTTTTTGTTATTTAATTGAAAAGCTTTTCAAAAAAATTTCACGCTATTCAATTTTGCCGATTTTTGCATTAGTGGTGGTAGCCTAAAAGTCTCGTTGCGAGCAGCGCATTAGGAGCAGCGCATTACGCACAGGGAGGCCGCATTAGGAGCAGCGCATTGGGCACAGTGAGGCCGCATTAGGAGCAGCGCTTTGGGCACAATGCGTGGTCGCATTAGGAGCAGCGCATTGGGCACAGTGAGGCCGCATCAGGAGTAGTGTATTACGCACAGTCAGGATTGACAATTTACCCATCCATTTTACCATTGACGTTTTATAAAACATCGATTTTCTATATTTCCGTAACAATGACCAATCAACAAAATAGTAACAATTAAAATTTATGCGTCCGCTCAGACATTTCTTTTCCTCAGACAGATAGATATTCAAGCATGGTTGTAAACATTGCCTCGCATTCGTGCTTTTGCGTGTCATTTACCAGTTTGCAGTTGTGTTACTAAAAATAGTTGTAAATCGAATAACTTAATTGTGATCATGCCTCCCGGTGACAATAGGTTTAGCTGCAATAATTAAAAATTAATGACGCATTAGGAGCAGCGCATTACGCACAGTGAGGCTAGGCTGCATTAGGAGTAGCGCATTGGGCACAGTGAGGCCGCATTAGGAGCATCGCATTGGGCACAATGCGCGGTCGCATTAGGGGCAGCGCATTGGGCACAGTGAGGCCGCATTAGGAGCAGCGCATTGGGCACAATGCGTGATCGCATTAGGAGCAGCGTTTTGGGCACAGTGGGGCCGCATTAGGAGCAGCGCATTGTGCACAATGCGTGATCGAATTAGGAGCAGCGCATTGGGCACAATGCGTGATCGAATTAGAAGCAGTGCATTTCGCCTAGTCAGGATTGATAATTCATTCTTACATTTTACTATGGGCGTTTTCTCAAACATCGATTTACTTTATTTCCGCAACAATGACCAATCATCAATGAAGTAACAATTAATATTTATGCGGCCGCTAAGACACTTTTTGCCTCAGCTAGATATTCAAGCATGGTTGTAAACATTGCCTCGCTTTCGTGTCTTTGCGTGTCATTTAACAGTTTGCACTTGTGTTACTAAGAATAGTTGTAAATCAAAAAACTTAATTGTCATCATGCCTCCCGATGACAATAAGTTTAGCGGCAATAATTAAAAATCAAGGACGCAAGGAGCAGCGCATTACACACAGTGAGGTCGCATTAAAAGCAGCGCATGGGACACAATGCGTGGTCGCATTAAGAGCAGCGCATTGGGCACAGTGAGGCCGCATTAGGAGCAGCGCATTGGGCACAATGCGCGGTCGCATTAGGAGCAGCGCATTGGGCACAGTGAGGCCGCATTAGGAGCAGCGCATTGAGCACAATGCGTGGTCGCATTAGGAGCAGCGCATTGGGCACAGTGAGGCCGCATCAGGAGCAGCGCATTGGGCACAATGCGTGGTCGCATTAGGAGCAGCGCGTTGGGCGCAATGCAACAACCTGGTCTGTAATTTAAGATTTTCTTTTTGTCGTAGTTATTCGATGAAGATCTGGTGATATATAATGTGCTCCCACTTTTTATGGGGTATTTCATACATCCCATTCAAAAAGGCTTTGGATAAGAAGTTTTTTGTTGTATATGAAATTATTAAGTTGAATTGTATAAGAACGAATTCATCTCTTGATAAGAAGCTTCACGACTTCATCGTAGCAAAGCTCTAAACAAGTAAAAACAGTGGATATATGGCAACATCAACTGAAGACTATATGGAGGATACAAAAGATCTTGAAAACCTAGTCCGATAAACATAGTCAAAAACCCTACTTATATTTGTGCGGAATGAAATTATGTCAATATTTTTTTCATATTCTATTACTTACCTCAAATATCACCATGAACATAAACGCATACTTGGACGTTTCCGACGTTCATTTTTCTTTCACCGATGAAAAATGACCGTCGTAACAACGATCAGGTTCGATCCTCACATGTTTGGATTTTCTGATATGGTTCAATCAGTTGACCAAACGTGACCGAGCAATGCTATTGTAATCCATTAACAGTTGTAAACATCAATTTCATGTTGCGCTGACACGTAAAAATGAAAAACCTGCTTGCGAATTTATCAACAACACAAGCGTGGGGCGGGTCTATGTAAATGAAATATCATTGCGTACCAATCCTTAATCTCACAAACGACTTTATTTCTTGGAATTAGATTTGGCGTTAAAACCTTTCTAAAAAAACAGTACCAAGCAAACGAATTTCGTTGTTATGGGTGTACTCAGGAATATTTGCTATTAATTTACAAGGTGATATCATCTTTCCTTTATCCTTAATTTAATGCAAATATATTTTTCTTAACTTTGTTTATGTCTGATGTTTATACGAAATAAATACAAGATCTTTGGAAATGATATTTTTTTAATCATACAACATCACATAACAACGAGATTTAAAATTCCATTTATTAATATTTTTTTATAATCACTTATTGTCATAACATATATCATATCAATTCTTTGCTTTACGTATATCTTTGATTTCTCAGCTCTGGAAGGAGGTTATTCTGATGATCTTTAATTTGTTTGACCATACGGCGGGCCCTTTTTTGAAATTTAGGCCCATGTTCGCTTCCACCTTCATGCATCAAAACTCCAGCAGCGTGGACCATTTCGTGTATTATTATTTCCAACCTTTTCTCCAAACTTTTCTCCGTCGATTTAATAAAAACGATCAGGAAGTCTTTTTTTGAGATAGAAGCCGGCGACAATGTGAAGGCATCTACTGGCTTCTATTTGGGGTATACCTCTTCATATGTAGTTTTTTGAACACAGGCGACAAATTCCTCACCCCTAGGGAAAGGAATATCTGGAAGAATACTACGGATAGAGTTATATATCGAAACATATTTATCCGAAAAGTCCGCAATCATCCCCACCCACCTGCTGAGTAACATTGGCAACTCTGGCCGCTAACCGATTTTCTTGTAAATGGAGAAAACTGCACGCTGCTTGATCAACTATTAAGGGATATCGTATTTGATCTTCATATTGGTTTTAGTGATCTTTCGACGACTTCACAACGCTCATTTCCTGTAGGCTGTCATAGATTGTATATTCTTTTTCTTGGGAAACGACATTGGATATGCAGATCCAATGATTATATACAAAATGCAGAATTTGGATAAAATTTCGCACATTTTCCTTTCGTTGAAATCCATGAGTTGGTCCAATGATTACGTCGTCAAGTCCATTGAGGTCTGGACGCTTAAGAAGGTCCATTGCCGCATTCATATGTTTATCACTGAGCCATGCCCAGTTTTTGAATCATGGACATCGTTATTTGTCAGAGACAGATCATTCATCAACTCCAGATCGCATTCACTTTCGACCTTTTCGCGGTCTCTATCATCCGTCTGCACGAGTTTCTCTGTATTATAAATGTTCACAAGGTTGGGGTTCAGGTTTTGCGCATCTTGGTGCGCATACTTCAGGAATACCCATATTTGTTTTGCGTATTTTGTGATGTGATAGTTTTACGAATGACTATTACATATAGGTAGTTAATTAAGCTTAAATAAAAGTTGTACTTATACGCTCTTGGATATGTTAGACGCCACTTAACGAAAAAATATCAAAATTACTAATAGGAAAAGCAATATTTATGCTTCATTATCCGGTTAACCGTCACAATAATAATCCGATATCAGAAAGCAATATACCTCTCGGTTAACCGTTTTTCTGGATAATCATACCCTACTTTCAATATTTCACAAAATTCGATACCGAAATTTAATATTTTTTCGAAATATACCCTATTTAAAAAGACGTTGGAAATGTTTATCGAGAAATGGAAACTAGAAAAAGGGAATTTTGGGGAAAATTTTATAGTTACTCATAGTCATTTAGGCATAAACAATTAATGTACAAAATTTTATGAGGCTTTGTTGTATGAAAGTTCCATAGTTTGCCTTTTACCCCCTTCAAACAACTCGATCAATTTAAGACACATGTTTTGTGTTTCGAGGTATTCTATCGGTTTACATCACCGATATATGAATATGCATTTAATGCATATTTGATCGCATATGTTTACATCACCGATATATGAATATGCATTTAATGCATATTTGATCGCCCCGGCAAAATTACGAAGGCTGTCAGAATGATGTCGAAAGCAAAACCTCTCAGTGGCGCACAGAAACGCAGATAAAGGGCAGAAGAGGAAGCACGGATGAAAAAAATTAGAGTAGCCAAAATAAACGGCAAGTTTTAGGTTACCATTGCCTTTTAATAGCGACATGTTATGCTTTTTGACGAAATAAAAAAAGAGTTGTTTTAGCTTATTTAGGGTCATTCCCACGAAATATTTTTGCAGGGGGGCCCACGAGAGTCTTGCTACGCCACTGTACTAAGCGTTAGGAATACGCTCGCTACCGCACCTCTGACTGCCCGGCGTGGGTTCGCAGGTTCGAATCCCATGTGGGCCTGATCTTGTGCGAGAGGATTGCTGGACTCCTCGCCACCGCAGGGTGGTTCATGTACCGCTGGTCGATTATCCTCTTACTTCAAACCCATACTCTCCGAAAAAAAAAACTGACTAACTAATCCCATATCCGACCTCAACTGGTAACCAGACGACAGCCGTCGTTCGCCATATGATTAAGCCGTCTCATCAGATTTCCTCTGCCCAAGGATAAATATGTAAATCCTAATCCTATATGTCAATAATGTAAATGAGATCATTTAAATTAATCGATACCCCCGTCTTTTCTGAATATTTTAGTATATATTTACAATCATATTTTATTATTTATGATGACTATTACATCAGAATGAT